TAAAGATTTTTACCTTTTATGATACAGTTTATTCTCCTTGTTTCAAAGAAAATTACCTCAAATTCCACCCTCAATACAAGATATAAGCTGCTGTTTTATTATAGCTAAATAATAAATCATTTTCTATCCATCTATCCACCAACAGACAACTTGATTTATTATGAAAGTTAATAGCAGCAATAATATGTGAACATGAGTGAAAATATATACAAGACAAATTGAGAGGCGCATTACTTAAATATAACTTCCTCCCACAGCCCCAAAGCCTTTTGCAAACTAGGAGTTATAAGGAAAAGCAAGAAAGGAAGAGGAAAAGCCAGCATCTGGCAGGAAATGACTGGGACACAGAGGTTCACAGGGCTCTGCTCCCCACCCATGCTGCTGTGTGCACTTACTCTTTTGCTATCACAATGATATTAGTGATAAGAACCTTTTGTGCTGCATTGTATTTGCTAATCTTATTTATTCTTTGTTTCTTTCATATGCTTTGCATGATAAAAAGGCAAATGAACAACACGGGTTCAGAATGCCAGCATACGTTAGTTCAGCCTTCATCCCACGTATTGAAAACAAAAAAATCCAAAATAAGTGTTCTTTGAGGGTGTGCCCTGTGAAGGGACTGTGCCATAGTGCTTTAAAATATAGTGTCCCTATGGCTTTAAAGAATATGCTTGGTAAATTTAGCCAAACCTGGAACGTGTATGCCTGGAAACCTTTCGTCATGAGAAAGTTTATGCAAGGATGTTTGCTAAGGCGTTATCTCCGGAATGCCGGTATTTCCCTGGTTTCTCTGGAGACATTTTTATCTCTCAAGGCATATTATGGTGGTACTGTTATCCTGGTCATCATATTTTACTAAATTTCTATATTCTTTATTATTATTCACTGTTCTATATACATTCAGCTGTAGCTCTAATGAGTATGGGTATAAAACAGAGCTGCCTGTGCTTTGGGCACTTGTGTGTGGGTGAAGAAATAGGAGTAAGAAATAAAATCGCACAAGTCCCCTGGACGTTTCTCAGTTCTGTGATAGTCCATGACTGCCCTCGTGGCAGTCACACCCCTGATGCTGTGTGACAAGTGTAGATGCCCTGAAGTGTTCAGTTCTGAGGGATTGCATTTCAGACCAGGATATTCCAGGCTTGTGCCTCTCCAGAGTGCCTTCCTGCCTCTTGGCGAGCTTTTTATTAGGAAACTCACTGTATAAAATTCATACAAAGCTCAAACATGATTAATGCTTAAGCAGTGCAAAACATACAGGAATTTCATTATCACATTATTCAGGAGACGGCTTAGACTTACACAAGGTCATAGAGACTTACTTCAAGGTTAAAAATGAAGAATAAACTCCCTTAGTTTGTGTTTAGGAGCATACTTGCACAAAATGAGAATTGTAAGGCAGCACCATGCCCAGAATTCTGGGCAAGGGCCAGAGCTCAGAGGGAGCCTAAGGAAATGTGTTAACCCTAAAATACCAAGTGCCTTAGTCCCTAAGAGTCAAAAGAAGCAGCTACAGACAAGAAGGACATCTAATTTTGTAATGTTCTTCCACAAATCTGCCTGACAGTGGAGAAAATAGCAGACGCATCCAAATTGACACGTTCAGCATAAAACACCCCTCGATAAGCCTCCTACCATCAGAGCTTTGCTTACAAGTACAGCACAGCACACATGACCATGGGTGTCCTTCAAAACCTGCTTCAGACAGTGGTCTTCCCAGAGTTAAGACCTGTCCTCAGCACTACAACTGCTGGTCCAGGGGCGATGTGCAAGGAAATAAAGCACTCAACTATGAGGTGCTCAGCATCAAATGGGGATGGATATCCACCAGGTTCAGAAAGGAGCTAAAGTAGGTCCTCATACATGAATACATTCACCTGATAATCATGCCTCCGTTCCAACTGTATAAGTGGGTCATGGGAAGGAAACAGAGCCTCTATGAGAAATGGAGAGGGGAGAAAGGTTCACCCTCACATTCAGAATATAATGCCTCATGGGATGTCTTGGCCCAGAAGAATGAGTTAAGGATCCTGGGCACCCAACATGAATGGTCAAAACAGACGTAAGTGATTCTGGATGCCATCACCATGATAGGAGAGGAAAATACTAGGCTCTAACTATTGTGTTTATCTTTTCTTTTTTTCCATCTGTTTTTTGAAACAGGGTCTCCCTGTAGCCTGTCAGCCTGGAACTCACTATGTAGACCAGGCTGATCCTTGACCTCAGAGATCTGCCTGCCTCTATCTCCAGAGTGCTGAGACTAAAAGTGTGCACTGCCACCCCCAACTTAGGCTCTAGCTTTTTATGTCCCTTCATTGATGAATATGTATTAACATAGCACTATGAAATGTCCTTCACACTTTTAATCTCTTGGGGGCTATTGCCACCGAGGTGAAGGGATTCCTATGACTGAGACTCCCAGTCTCCATCTCATTAATTATGGTGCTCTAATTAATTTTTATTACATAATTAGCATGTAATTTTGGGCCTCATTTCAATGTCATGTTACAAATTGTTAGGAGATTTGACAAACAACTGATGTTCCCATCTCTAGTCAATTGAATCATCACATTGCAGTTCTGAAATCCAATCAGTATCAACAAGGACAACTCCTAGAGCCAAGTTTTCTTAAAACTGAACCATCTACAACCTGAGGACACAGCCATGTTACTCGTCTAGACACAGTGAGATGAGATCAGTGTGAACCCAAGGAGAATCCTCCCTACAGGGGAAGCTCAGGGCCAGCAGCAGAGAATAGGAGAGACCACGTTAGAAACTAGAAAGTTCAGAACTATGTAGGATGAGCACATGCATACCATGCTTCGTGCTGGTTTAATCTCAGAATCGCAGATTCCTCTGCCTGCCCAGGAACCACTCTAGAGATGCTTGGTGTCTCACTAAATTTTCCCCTTCCCACTCTCTGGGAGGCCGGCCCCCAGTCCCCGGGTCTCCCGGTCCTGACCCTGGTTAACAAAACCAACATCACACAGTTCTACTTGGGTTCTGCACAGTGTATGACTTCTGGG